CAGCATAGTTTTTTTTCTGATTAGTGAATTTGCATCATAACAATTTAATACTATGCATTTATGCATGTGCAAATGTCAATATATTCTATTTCTGAGCCCAGCCAAAAATTATTGACAATAATGATTTTTCTTTCTTTCTGGACAGATCATATATTCTAATTGTACATTGCTTTAAATTATTTTAAAATATTTTTATTTAAATGTAAATTCCAAAATGAATTAAATGAGGAATTTTAAAAATTGTTAGATATCTTAAATGTGCATGGGAAGTAAAGAATGTTATGGATTAAGTAACCCATGTATATCTTTGGCTACTAGTTCACTGGGGCCTGCTCTAGTCTTTATACATGATGCCAGGGAGGCCCTAGGAACAATGTGTTTTCCCAGTTTGTCTAGATAACAATGATAGTGACTCTCTTAGAGGAAACTTTGAGTGAAACTGTTTTCTCTGTACATTATCAGATATGTATCTGATATATTTCACAATTTTGGTTGATTGTTGACATTAATTTCAGGGAAGAGTCCAACAAACTGTGAACTTTCTCATTTTGCCTGATCTGTTTTCTCTGAAATCCTGTGCCAGCTGTCATCAAACATGTTAGGCTCCTAAAGTAGAGTTTAGACAAAGCCCATCTAAATGTGAAAAGTAGTGTTTTAAAGGTCCTTACATTAAATTTATATTAATAAACTCTATGCTTTAATGTGAAACACTGGGATGACTTAAATGGTACTACTTTTAAAAACTATACCAAATCTACCATTATTATCATCATGAATATATATTTACTGAGTGGATACCACTGTGTGCCTGATATCATACTAGGAGCTTGAAGAACATATTCAATGATTACTCAAAATTTATCTTTATTCATGCAAATTATAACTTCATGTATATTAGGAACTGAATCAGAAGCACATATACCAAGCAATACTGAATAGTTTTAATATCAGTATAAAATGAGAATAGAGAGTGTTGTGGATATATTATCATAGTTTTATATGTTCTTTAAACATTTTACACTTTTATTTGGGGAGAAGTTATTGGTAGGTTTCCTGGGTCTGAGCAGACAGATAAGGAAAGGAAAAAGAATAGCGAACTAGGAAATAAGCTAGAAGAGAGGAAAAGAAAAGGCCAAATAAGAGAAGGGTAGAACTACTATGCAGTGCAGGTTTCATCAGGACTTTCCTTTCTCTTTCTTGATAATGTATTGCTTATCCCTGCCAGACATAGGCAGTCTCCAAGGAGCCACTTCTATGACTACTTCTTTTGATATCTATGTAACTGTCAAGTCAAATACTCTGTGGTATCAGTAGAGGGAACAAGATGGAGGTGTGTTCTGACCACTATGAACTTGTGCTGAGGGTAGAATACTATTTTATTTGATATCAGATCTGTGCCAGTCCTGAAAAGCATTTTCTTTTCTTAGATTTTTATAAACAATATCTGAATATTTTATTGAGAGAGAGGCAGCAATGTATCATTAAAAGAGAATATTTACAAACTTTGGTTCAAAATCAGGTTATATAATCACGAGCAAACTATTTAAACTTGCTTAGCAACACTTTTTTATTTCTGAAAATGATCAAGCTAAAATCAACAATAACACATACCTAGGAGAGTGATCATTAGAATTTTATCATAATAATATTCAATGTTAAATCTAGAGCATGGAATAGAATGCAAACAAAGAAAATATTAGTTCTACCACATGAGTTTTGATAATTAAGAATCTGTAGATACTATGTGAATTAATCACTTAAATATTTATATGTGTGATCTGATAATGGTTAAATTTTGGTTTCTCTCATGAATAAATATTTTATTTATAATTTTAAAAAGATAAATATGAAGATGATAGGTTTGGATTAATTCTGATGATTTTTTTTCCTGAGGTGAACCAGAGGAGATAAAAAGATTATGAATAATTTGTATCACCAAAAGGATTAGCCAACTGAAAAAAAAATTGAGGAGTATTATATTAAACTGGAGGCCTGGTGCATGAAATTTATACACAGGATCGGGGCGGGGTGTTCCTCAGCCCAGCCTGCACCCTCTCCAATCTGGGATCCCTCTCACAATCCAGGACTGCTGGCTCCCAACTGCTTGCCTGACTACCTTCCTGATTGCCCCTAACCACTTCTGCCTGCCAGCCTGATCACCCACTAACCACTCCCATGCCAGCCTGATTGATGTCTAACTGCTTCCCTGACAGCCTGTTTGCCCCCCAACTTCCCTCCTCTGCTGGCCTGGTCATGCCTATCTGCTCTCCCCTGCAGGGTTGATCACCTCCAACTGCCCTTCCTTGCAGGTCTGGTCCTTCTCAACTGCCCTCCATTGCAGGCCAGGTGCCTCCCAGCTGCCCTCCCATGTTGGCCATCTTGTAGTGACCATCTTGTGTCCACATGAGGGCAGGATCTTTGACCACATGAAGGCAACTATTGTGTTGGAGTGATAGTCTGCATATTACTCTTTTATTAGATAGCATAGAGGCCTGGTGCATGGGTGGGGCCAGCTGGTTTGCCCTGGAGGGTGTTCTGGATCAGGGGGGTTCCCTTGGGGCAGGGGGCAGCCTGAGTGAGGGGCCTGTGGTGGTTTGCAGGCCAGCCACACCCCCTGGCGACCCAAGCAGTGGCCCTGGTATCTGGGGTTTATTTACCTTCTACAATTGAAACTTTGTAACCTGGAGCAGAGTCAAGCCTCCTGCCTGCTCCGATGCCTGCAACCATTTCTGTTTGGATTTGTTTACCTTCTGTAATTGAAATTTTGTAGCCTTGAGTGGAGGCCTAGGCTGGCAAGGGCAGGTGGAAAACTTGGCTTTCATTGCCTGAGAAACCCAAGCCTCCCTCCTGCTCTCTGTAGCCATTTTGGTTGGGTTAATTTGCATACTCTCTCTTATGGACTGGTGGGCATGGCTTGTGGGCAGAGTGATGGTTAATTTACATATTACTCTTTTATTTGTAGGGCTAGAAGCTTGGTACATGGATTCATGCACCAGTGGGATCCCTTGGCCTGGCCTGTGGGGATCAGGATGAAAATGGCTCTCTTACATCTCCTGAGGGGTACCAGATTGCAAGAGGATACTGGCTATGCTGAGGGACCCCACCAGTGCACAATGAGGGCTTTGGGACATTTGCAGCCCATCTTCTCCAGTCCCCATTGAGCAGACCTCAGCAGCAAGCTAACCTACCAGTTGTAGCATCTGTCCCCTTGTGCTCAGTGTGTGTCATATCAACTGGTCAAATGAACAGACACTTAGCATATTAGGCTTTTATTATATAGGAGATCACACTAGAAAATAGACTTAGAGGTTTGAATTTTTATTCCTGTTACTATATTGTAGGGATAAAGAAACTCCTCAAAATTGAATGACTTCAAAATCAAACATTACTCTAAATATAGCTTTGAAAATATCTGTTGTACAGACACAAAATGTACTGATTTCTGTACTAGGTCAATAATATGTTTACACTGTAGACGTTGACATGCTTAGTCTCAGGTCCACATTTCATTGCAAACATGATCTGAGAAACTGTCCACACTTTTTATTGTTTTTTTTTATTATTATTATTCAATATCATTTAGAATGCTTGGCTATTGGTTAGACTTGAAACTATTTTCTTATGATAGTTTTCATTCATTTTTATTTGTAAACTAGAAGCCCAGTACATGATTTTTGTGCACTTAGGAGGGGTCCCTCAGCCCGGCCTGCACCTTCTCACAGTCCAGGAGCCCTCAGGGGGATGTCTGACTGATGCAGGGAGCAGGCCTAAGCCAGCAGTTGGACATCCTTAGAGCTGCCACAGAGGCAGAAGAAGTTTCTGCCACTGCTGCTGCACTCACCAGCCATGAGCCTGGCTTCTGGCTGAGTGGCACTCCCCTGTGGGAGTGCACTGACCACCAGGGAGGCAGCTCCTGTGTTGAGCATCTGCCCCCTGGTGATCAGTGTGCATCATAGTGGCTGCTCATTTAGCCATTAAGTCAATTTGCATATTAGCTTTTTATTTTATAGGATTATATTGCAAATATTTTAGAATTACTAATTATTTTCTATGTAGTCTTGGGAAAATTATTGCAACCTTGTTAGGCCACACTCTCATGTCAATCGGGGCAGACTAAATAAGTTTTCAACTCTGTCATTTTATAATTTGACATTTATAAGTTTAATTTTTCAATTGCCCCAGAATAACACTTGGTCAGGTTGGAATAGTCCAAAAAATTGTTGAAAGCAATTCAAATAGCAATAGATGCTTTTTGGAAGCTCTTTGAAAATTATAGAGAAGAATATAAGCATAAGATATTATTTAACTTTAATAGCTTTAATTTTAGAAATAAGTAGATTAAACACGGGATTGAATGTGCTTGAGATTAACTGCCACTTTAAGGATTCCAGCATTTTCTTCCCATACTTAATATCTAATAGGCATAACAGTCTATGGCAATAATAGTAGTTGTAGTAGTAATAGTAGTAGTAATACCTGCACTATTAATTGAACATCCACTGTGGGACATATATCTATCTATCATCTATCTATCATCTATCTATCTATCTATCTATCTATCTATCTATCTATCTATCTTAAATTGTAAAGTGGATATCATTGGCCTCAGGATACTGAGGGAGAAGAATTACAAGGTCATACAAATAGATAACTTGCTTAAATTTTATTTATTTTTAAAAATATATATTTTATTGATTTTGTACAGTGAAGAAGGGAGAGAGATAGAGAGTTAGAAACATCGATGAGAGAGTCATTGATCAGCTGCCTCTTGCACACCCCCTACTGGGGATATGCCCATAACCAAGGTACATGCCCTTGACCGGAATCTAACCCGGCACCTTTTAGTCCCCAAGCCGACGCTTTATCCATTGACCCAAACCGGTTTCGGCAACTTGCTTAAATTTTAAACCTAGTTAACATCAGGTATGAGATTCTGGCCCCAAGTTTTGACTTCAAGGTCTGTTTCTAAATACTCTACCTTGAGGTCATTGACTGTCTACTTTCACTTTCCTTATTTATTACTTCTCCTCCTATGCCTGCAACTTTTTTGTTTGTTTGTTTGTTTTACATGACTACTTTAAAAAAGTACTGGGAAAAAGAAAAACAAATTTTGAGGCTTAAGACTCTAGCAGGTCTTGCTTTGGTCAAATGCTGAGTTATGGAAATATAAACTGCAACAAATTCACAGATTCTATTTTATTATATGTGTGCAACATTTGCATGTTTTTTGTACTCTGGTACCTTGTAGCTATTTTTTCCAAGAAAACAGTCTTAAATATGCTTAATATGCTTATAAAAATGACAAGCTATTGTTACAGTAGGCATAATTTATAGGGAGGTGTGTTTAGTTCCAAGTGTGAGCACATAGACACATTCACATTTTATTATTCTTTTGCTTCTGGAAAGGCCTGGCCCACATCTGCTGATTGAAGTTTTATGTTTCCCAATTTATAAAATATTTACCAAAGGTATAATAGACTTTTTACAGATGATATGTCAAGCTGGTTGAGACATCGGTTCATGGAAGATAGCTTCTGTCTGTCAGAACTGTGATAGTGGACAATGAGTTTTCTTTCTGCCAAAAGTCTGATTTCTAATTTAAATTAAAAAAGTTAAATTGGAAATGAAGATTCTTTATCATTCTGACAATGAATTTGATCTTTAATACTCACACATGGTGGAAGATTAGAGATTTCAAAAAGTTACTCAAAATAAATTCAATTAATATTTATTATAGTTGGATAAAAACTATTATTACATGGATGAATTAAATATCTCTTGAATATTCCAAAAACTGTTTATACACATTAAGATAAGGAAAACTATCAGTTTTTTTAGTTTAAAAATATTATTGTTTGGAAGCCTGGGAGAGAGAAAATATTGTGACACTGTCCTGGAAGTATGAAAGTCCACGGTGGTTTTCATTCCTCTTTGATGGATTCAGTTTGGGACAAACTCAATTGGCTACTATTTTTTCTTCTCTTCCATTTTCCCCATCTTTTTTTCCTCGTGATTTCTTTTCTACTCTTTTCATCCATTCACACAACAAACCTTTTGCGTCACACTTACTATGACTCAGTCACCAAATTGTTGTTGTTGATCTGAAATGAAAACAAAACAAAATACTGCCTTTAAGTAGTTCTATGTATCATGCTACTATATCATTCATTCATTAACAAACATGCTAATTACAAATGTTTCTACTTTGCTAACAAATTCGAAATTTTAGTCTCAAATATTTGCTAACCCAAATACTTAAAAATGTCATTTTTTCACTGAGTCAAAAAGGGTTATTAATTTTATATTTTAAAATAAATTTTTTTTGAAAACTGTATACGTTGTCTTCTTTGAATTCATCTCTCCCTTCCTTTCCCCAGTCTCTGGATGTCTGATGCTCTATCCCACATGTGTCAAACACAAGGCCCGAGGGCCAAATCCGTCCCGCCAGGCCTTGCAATGTGGCCCGCACTGTGCTGTCATCACTGCACTCCGCTGCGTTTCCATCACAATGACAGTTTATGACTGTTCAGTAAACCATTCGGCCCGCGATTTAGGCTGGATTTTAGATTTTGGCCCCTTCTCTTATTGAGTTTGACACCCCTACATCCCTTCCTCTTCTTCTTTTGATTCACTAAAAGGCTAATAACATAGGAGGACACTGTGATCATGGTGTTGAAAATATCATTGGTGTTGAAAAAATATATATTTGTGTGAGACTATAATTCATTTACTTGTGTTGCTTTCAGCCTTGACTATCTCGGTTTCTAATACAAGAATGGTAGTTAATATATTTTACTTGCTATTAAATAACAAACTTGTTCTCATTTAGATGGAAAGCCTTGATGATAGGACTGTTTCCTTTTCAACATAGTGCTTATCACTATATTGCCTATTAATAGACACGTATAATTAAATCCCATTAATTTGAAACTGGAGATTATGAAAAATGGACTCTGAATTAAGTAGAATATCTATTATTTTATTTAAGAATAGGACATGTAGTTATCTAGAAAATTATAATTGTTCAACAGATACTATTGACTGAACTTAAATGATATTTTATGTTGTAATAAACTATGTAACAATGCATAGAATTAAGATGCTAAACATCTGATAGTTTTGAATGTAACTATTGTGCCACAGTAATGCACTATTTCCACATAAATGAATAATCCTAAAAATGAAGAAAGTTGGAGATTTAGAGCAATGTAGTTTAAAATTCATGAAAATCATCTTATTTTAATACACATTGAGGTAGTAATAACAAGATAGTATGTTGCATTGAACAAATTGGAGTTACTATACTAATCAGCATTCATTTAGTAGAGATAGGGCACTTCATTTATGTAAAAACTTCAAAACATTATTCAGGTAAGAGATCTTATGAAATAATTGATGGACAAAAGGCTGCATATCTAGAAAATATACTATTGGTTGCATAGTCCTGCAGATTTTTTATTTTATTTTATTTTATTATTCTTTTGCTTCTGGAAAAACCTGGCCTACATCTGCTGTTTGAAGTTTTATGTTTCCCAATTTATAAAATATTTGCCAAAGGCATAATGGACTTTTTACAGATGAAGTATGAAGTATATCAGGCTGGTTGAGACATCGGTTCATAGAAGATAGCTTCAAAATAAATGCCAAACATGACAATTTCTTACTTGGCCATACATAAATGGTGTAGCTGAAAGACTTCAAAGGTGTCGGTGTGCTACCTTTTTGCTATGGAAAACAGTGTTTAAAATAATTTTCCAACCATAACTTATTTCCCTTCATGCTTAATTTGCCTCATTCATCCATGAACTGTTACTGAAATTTAAAAGAACATAAAGTCCAGGTGTTTGAGGAGGCAAGACATATCTGTTTAACAGATAGCTCAGCAGTTGTGAAAAAAATTATTCACAACCTGAAAGCAGTACAATCTCTCCAAAACACTGTTCTCAATCCACATATTTTTTTTTAAAGAGAAAGTGAATTTTATGCTGTCTTTAACTCTTACTATACCTTTGAACAAATGAGGTGTTTCTAAATTGACAAACTAACCTTGCTTCCTGGAACCTGAACTAATGTCACTCTTATTTGCTTTTTATGGAATATGAACCAATCAGCCATGCATGTGGCTTCTGAAACAATGCTGAACTTTACTTATTAGTATTGAAACACCAAATATAAAGACAGAATTTATTTTGGGAGAGATACCTATTCTACTTCTGAATTCTTTTTTTTTAAATACATTTTATTGATTTTTTACAGAGAGGAAGAGAGAGGGATAGAGAGTTAGAAACATCGATGAGAGAGAATCATCGATCAGCTGCCTCTTGCACACCCCCTACTGGGGATGTGCCCACAATCAAGGTACATGCCCTTGACTGGAATCAAACCTGGGACCTTTCAGTCCCCAGGCCAACGCTCTATCCACTGAACCAAAACGGTTTTGGCTCTACTTCTGTATTCTGATGCCTACTTTATTTATCTCTAAAACTGTGATATAAAAATTAGAGAATAATTAATTAGTTCTTCCAATTGGCCAGTGGCAAAACTGTCTTAGATGAAAGACATAATTGATACCTCAATTTCATTTGTGGCTTAAAGTGGGTGAGATTTTAAAGGCTTTCAGTGGTAATACTTTCTGTTTATTTATTTACTTTTTATTGTTCGAACTATTACAAATAGTGGTACATAAGTCTCCTTTTTCTGTTTAACTGTTTAATTCTAATGTCACATGACTGTCTTACATTTTCTCATATCAATATAACCACAAATATATAACCTCACATGTTTCTTCATGCGGTTATCTATTTTGAGCAATAAGTCCCAAGGATATTTGTGACCTAGAAGTGGATTTCCTTTGATTTATTATAGTTGTCACTTTTTGTTTTACAATGGGGAAAGCCCTGGGGTTTTGTATTTTTATTTTATTGTTTAAGGTATTACAAATAGTAGTACATATGTCTCTTCTTTTTTTCCCCACTGATCTCCCCCCAGTCTCCCCATCCCTTGGCACTTGCCCTCAGCCCCCATCCCCAGTGTCTTGAATCTGATGGTTGTGCTTATATGCATGCATACAAGTCCTTAGGTTGATATCTTACCCCCACAACCCTTCCCCTAGCTTCCCACTGTAGTTTGACAGTCTGATCTATGCTTCTCTGTCTCTGGATCTGTTTTTGTTCATCAGTTTATGTTGTTCATTATATTCCATAAATAAGTGAGATCATGTGGTATTTTTCTTTCATTGCCTGGCTTATTTAACTTAACATAATGCTCTCCAGTTCCATCTATGCTGCTGTAAATAGTAAGAGTTCCTTCGTTTTTAAAACAGCGTAGTATTCCATGGTGTAGATGTACCATAGTTTTCTAATCCACTAATCTGCTGATGGTCATTTGGACTGTTTCCAAATATTAGCTATGGTGAATTGTGCTGCTATGTACATAGGGGTGCATATATCCTTTCTGATTTGTGTTTCTGTTTTCTGGGGATATGTTCCTAGAAGTGGTATTACTGGGTCAAATGGCAGTTCCATTTTTAATTTTTTATGTTCTCCCATGCAGTGTTCTTTCTTGTTGAATTGTTGATGGTTTCTTTTGCTGTACAGAAACTTTTTATTTTTATGCAGTCCCATTTGTTTCTTTTCTCTTTAGTTTCCACTGCCCTAGGAACTGTATTGGTAAATATATTGCTATAACAAACGTCTGCTATTTTGTTGCCTATGGCTTCTTATAAGATTGTCATGGTTTCCCATTATGTTTAAGTCCTTTATTCATTTTGAGTTTATTTTTGTGTATGGTGTAAGTTGGTGGTCTACTCTCATTTTTTTTTTTTTTGCAAGTATCTGTTCAGTTTTCCCAACACCATTTATTGAAGAGACTATCTTGACTCCCTTGTATGCTCTTGCCTCCTTTGTTAAATATTAATTGAGCATACTGGCTTGTGTCGATATCAGACAGTTTTGAGAACAGTGGCTTTGTAGTGTAGCTTGATATCTGGTATTGTGATCACTCTTACATTGTTCTTCTTTCTCAAGATTGCTGCAGCTATTCGGGGTCTTTTTTTTTTTTTTTAATTCCAGATGAATTTTTGGAGAATTTGTTCTAGGTATTGGAAGTACACCATTGACATTTTAATGGGTATTGTGTTGAATTTATAAATTGCCTTGGGTAGTACCGATATTTTAATTATGTTGATTGTACAAATCTATGAACATGATATATTCTTCCGTTTGTTCATGTCTTTCTCTATCTCTTTTTTTGGCGTCCTGAAATTTTCTGAGTAAAAGTCCTTTGGCTCCTTGGTTAAATTTATTTCTAGGTATCTTTTTTTTTGCAATGATAAACTGTACTGCTTTTTAAATTTCTCTTTCTGTTAGTCCATTATTGGTGTATAGAAAAGCCACAGATTTGGGGTGTTTATTTTGTATCCTGCTGCATTGCTGAATTCATTTATTAAGTCTAGTAGTTTTTTAATGGAGTATTTGGGGTTTCCTATGTACAATATCATGTCATCTGTGAATAAGGAAAGTTTTAATTCTTCATTTCTAATTTAGATGCCTTTTATTTCTTCTTCCTAATTATTAAAATGACTAGTACTTCCAGTGCTATATCGAAGAGTAGTGGTGAGAGTGGATATCTCTGTGTTGTTCCTGTTCTTAGAGGAAATGGTTTTAGTTTTTTCTCCCCATTGAGTATGATTAGGGATGTGTGTTTGTTATATATGGCTTTTATTATGTCGAGGTATTATCCTTCTATTCCTACCCTGCTGAGAGTTTTTATCCAGATAGGGTGTTGGATTTTGTCAAATACTTTTTCTGCATCAATGTATATGATGATATGGTTGCTTCCTGATGAGCCTGGCTAAAGGTTCATCAATCTTGTTTATCCTTTCAAAGAACCAGCTTTTGGTTTCATTGATCTTTTGTAATTTTGTTTTTACGTCTATGTCATTTATTTCTGCTCTGATATTTATTATTTCATTCCTTCTGATCACATTGGGCTTTTCTTTTTGCTTTCTTTCTAATTATTCAAGTTGCAGAGTTTGATGGTTTATTACCAGTTTTTCTTGATTTTGAGGTAGGCCTGTAATACTATGAACTTCCCTCTCAGGACTGTTTTCACTGTGTCCCAAAGATTTTTGGATTGGTATGTTTTCATTGTCCTTTGTTTCCAGGATGTGTCTTATTTCTTCTTTGATCTCTTTGGTAACCCAATCATTGTTTAATAGTGTGCTATTCAGCCTCTAAGTGTTTGCATTTTTGTGATTGTTTGTAATTGATTTCTAATTTTATGCCAATGTGATCTTAGAAGATGCTTGATATGATCTTAATCCTCTTGATCTGGAGAGACTATGCCTTTGTCCCAATATGTGGTCTATCTTTGAAAATGTCCCATGTGCATTTGCAAAGAATGTGTATTCTGTAGTTTTGGGGTAGAATGTTCTAAAGATTTCAATTAAGTCCACATGATCAAGTGAGTCATTTAAGATTGCTGTTTCTTTGCTAAGTTTTTGTCTAGAGAATTTATCCAGTGATGTTAATAGGGTATTGAAGTCTTCTACCATGATTGTGTTGCTATTGATCTACCCCCTAATATCTTCCAGACATTTTTTTTTTTAATGTATTTGGGTGCTCCTGCATTGGGTCCATAAAGGTTCACCAGAGTTATATCCTCTTCTATCTATCCATTTATCCATTTAGAATTATGAAGTGGCCTTTATTGACTCTTGTTACAGTCTTCACTTTGAGGTCTACTTTGTCAGATATAAGTATTGCTACCCCAGCTTTTTTTTTTCCATTTGCCTGATAGATATTTTTTCATCCTTTCACTTTGAATCCGTGTGAGTCCCTTTGTCTGAGGTGGGTCTCCTGTAAACAGTATATATATATATATATATATATATATATATATATATATATATATATATATATATGGGTTATGTTTCCTTATTCATTCACTCACTGAATGTTTTTTGATTGGAGTATTTAATCTGAATTCATTTATTAAGTCTAGTAATTTTTTAATGGAGTATTTGGGGTTTCCTATGTACAATATCATGTCATCTGTGAATAAGGAAAGTTTTTTATGTTTAATGTTATTATTGCTAGGCACTTGTTTGTAGCCATTTCTGTACTTTATGCCTGTGTTCCTTTCTCCCTTTCTATTTATTCTTTTTATAGCATTCCATTTAGCATTTCTTGCATTGTTGGCTTGGTAGTGATAAACTCCCTTAGCCTTTTTTTTTTTTTTTTTTTTTGTCTGCGAAGCTCCTGATTCCCCCTTTAATTTAATTAATAGTCTTGCTGGATAAAGTATTCTTGGATTCAGTCCTTTGCTTTTCATCACTTTGTATACCTTCTTACATTCCCTTCTAGCTTGATGTGTTTCTGTTGAGAAATCATTTGATAATCTGATGGGGAATCCTTTGTAAGTAACTCTCTGTTTCTCTCTTGCAACCTTTAAGATTCTCTCTTTGTCCTGAACATTTGCCATTGTAATTATAATGTGTCTTGATGTGGGTCTATTGGGATTCATCTTGCTTGGGACTCTCTGTACATGTGTAATTTTTTTCTTCCCCATATCTTGGAAGTTTTCTGTCATTATTTCTTCAAATATATTTTCTAATTCTTGTTGCTCTTCTTGTCCTTCTGGCAGCCATATTGTACATATGTTACTTCATTTCATGTTGTCCCAAAG